TTACCTTTTAAGCAACCTCAGAGATAAGCTGAGGTGACCTGGAAGGGCGCTGGTTGGTGAGATTTCCACAGGTAGCGCTTCAGGATGGGTGGCGGGCTGAGATGGAGAAGCAAGGGAAAGTGCCTCTTCCCGCCCTGCCCCCTGCAGTCGCACACTACCCCAGGCTGGGAGGCGCTCCCTGCTGACTGGGTGGGAACATGAGCTCCCCATGGTGCCCTGCCCTACCCCTGCCCCTCCTCGGTTCCCCAAGTCCCTTGGGTTTGGGTAAATGCCATGGTGTTAGCCCTCTCTGCACAGTGCAATTTCCTCTGCAAGAAGCTGCTGCAAAGATTGCGCTTCTCCATGACTTTGGAAATAGTGTTGGCAGGGCAGCGGCCAGCACACAGCTGCCTTTGTGCAATTAGAAAAAGGTGGCCTCTCTGGAGGATTGATTACTAAAAGTCATCCTGTGCACTTGGCCAGCTAAGGCCTTGGGGGACCCCAATTCCTGCATACTTGTATAGGGACCCTGGTGCAGGGCCTGTACCACACCATCTACTGGCATAGCCACGAGGGAAGTTCTAAGGGTGGAAGCATATTATTATAACATTTGAATATTTCATGGATCAATGTCTCCTCAAACTTAACGACTTAAAAACACAGCCCACTCCATCACATCCCATTGCTCAGCTGGTCCCCCCCAACCCCATCCATCCCACAGAGGCAGCTATAAGATCCTAATTGTGATGTAGCCACCCTTAGTTCAGTATGTAAAGGCCACAGGAATACCTACTCCTTAGTACTTTATTTCATTTTCTTTACCAGGACGTTTATTTGTGGCCTAGGCATTAACACTGAAAACTTGAAATATGCAAGAGGTAGTCCAAACCCAAACACCCAACATGAGTTATTGGCATTTAATTACTGAGGCAGTTAAATAGTGCTGTAAACGAGTTCATCCCTGATTGCAGCCATAACCCATGCAGTTTGAAATTGAATGAAGGGATGATAAAAGGTGGCTATATAACATGAGAACGTCCATGAGTTGGTTTTAATTGGTAAACTGGCATATATAGTGATAATTGTTTGGTCTGTCCACCACATTGGAATCTTAGGAAAGTGCATAAAATTACAGAAGCATATAATTGGTGTACTAAACTCATTTTCTTACGTTATCACAGCTGGCATCTTCAGGTTATTAAAAGCCTTTAAACCAGTCATCTTCAAAGAGACCTAATTGTCAATATGGTCTTTATACATTATTCCTGTTAGCATGGAGCAGAAGAGATATAAACAGGCACTAAAATCTGCACAAATTTTCTGGGCATACCTTTCATATTTTGGGTTCAAGGAAGATCAGTAAATGTTAATGAGGGTAAAGACCATTCTTTAGATCCTGGTTTCCTCATTCAGTTCCTCTGCACAGGGTAACCAAACCGTAAAGACAAATTATGAACATTATAATCCGAATCAGACTTTGAAAAAGTTAATTCATAAGCTCCAGGAAGTTCTGTGATCTTTTTGTGTATAGGTAGCCCCACAAAAAGGACAGTTTCCCAAGTTCTGACATTCTAGTTACACGAACACATCCCTGAAGGGGACTTTTCCTAATAGGAGAAATAGCGTTAACAGAACAAAACAAAACAAGAACAAAAACACCCTCTCCATCTCCTATGGCATTCTCAGAAATCCCCTAACATGGAGGGATATGAAATAGGAAGGCAAGATATGAGGAAAAGTAAGGTTATCAGCCTAGCATTAGTGATTATTAAAGATTCACAGAATTTATCGATGTGAAGTCTATGTCCCTTTAGGCTATATCACCTAGGAGTACAAATGGTAGTGAATTGAAAGTAATTAATAGAGTGCATCACACTCCCCAATATTATAGGAACTCTAACTTCTACTTACTTCTTGGAGTTCCCAGGGTATACCTCACTTGTCCTTACAATGTGACCACTCAGCCTGCATCGATTCCTCCAGCCTCCGCTGGTCACCCTGGGAGGAAGATAACCTTGCCTCATGGCCTGTAGTGGTGCTTCCTTCCTCTGGGCTGCTGTTTCCACTTGACACTCTGGAATTCTTGTGACATTGGGGGCATTTAATGCCCTGAAACCATACTAAGGTCCATGCCTCTTGTGTCCACACATGTTCTTAGCTGAGAACATGAATCCATGGGAGGCTGGAATAAGGGAAAAATCCAAGAGGCAAACCACATGCTGAACTTGGAATCATCCAGGCACTGAGGCCTCGGTTTTCCCTAGGAAAAGTTCTGGACTCAGAAGCCTCTTAGTCTCTCATGTAAACAGAGCACATCTCACTGGTCCTCTGGACACGTCTGAACCCCGATGTGGTACAGCCTGGGCTGCAGCTGGGGTCTGACTTGTGCGTGTGTTTGACCCCCAGATCCTCCTGGGCACTAGGTGATAAAATCATCTGCTTCCCAAACTCTGACTTAATCACTGATCACGAGTTTGGTCCCAGCTGGGCATTATCCACTACAGGGAGTCACAAAATCTCATGGATAGCTGATTCCAGATTTCAATTCTCTCTCTCTCTCTCTCTCTCTGTGTATATATATATATGTATACATACATACATATATACATATCTATATCTATAGATGTAGATATATAGATATAGATACGTATCTATCTACCTATTTATCCATTATTTAAAAAGAATTGCAGGATAAAGGTTACAATATATTATAAGCATAGTTTGTCTGTATATATTAGTCAAAACATTTATTTACTGTTATTTATGTTAGGAAACTACCATCACACATATTCTAGCATGAAATTTCAGTAAATATTTTTCAGTGTTCTACGTGCAAGTTTATTTTAAGCCCACTACATTTTAATGTTATTGCTGCAGTTATAAGGCATCAGCTACCAATTATGTTAATGTTTTATTTACTTTATATATGAAGAAAAAACCCATTAGGTTAAAATTACCTATTATATCGCAATTACATTATAATAAGATACTCATTAATATCAGGATAAAATCTGGAATAAATTAGTTAATGATCTAATCTTGATACCTTTAAGATATAATAACCCTTTGTTCTCAAATTTAAATAATCCATATTGTGGCAAATTCCAAAACAACTGTGTTCTCCTTCCTCTAGGCAAAGAATACAGGGCACAGAAGCTTTAGAGAGCAAACGGCTATTGATTTTGGTCTGCAGTGGCTCTGGGCATGTCCCAGCAAATCGCTCTTTTAGTCATATTTAGTCCACTGTGAGCTTTGCTGTCTTTCTCCCTCCCTGCTTCTCCCTGCTTTTAGCAATGATGTTGACTATAATGATAGTAAATATAAAATATAAAACATAAAAAAATAAAATATTTATGGGAAGTTATTTCCATAAATAGGATTTTTAGGTAACTGAACTTTATTAGCTAAAGTAAGAAAGCTTTAAATATTTTTGATGGACATATTTATAACATTTATATAAAATACAAAAATAACCTTACATAACCACAGGTTTAACATTTTCTTAATGACTAAACGTTTTGAGTTATAGGACCCTGATGTTTTTTGGAGTTATTTAATCATTCATTCATTCTTTCATTCTTCCATTTAACAAGTATTTATTGAGTGGTCCTATGTTCCAAGAACTGTAAAATGATAGAGGTGAACAAAACATAAGAAAAGTGCTATTCGTCCCCCATCCCTCATCCCCTTGGGGCGCACGTTCTAACCTGTATAGAGGATGTTTATTCAAATGTGCCCTAACTGCCATGGCTGTGGTTGTTCTGTCTCCTCCCTCTGTTGTCAGCTGTCACACTCGTGGCACCACATCTCTCCTTCTGACCTGTAGGTCTTTTTCTAAGCATCTCTCCATGCCCATAAGACACATTCTCTGACTGGAGCCCCCACAGCTCACTTTCAGCCCCCCATAGACATGCTGCTCCCTGCCCTTCTGAGCAGTTTCCTCAGCCCTGCTCTGAGTTTAGAGTCTTTCCTTGTTTCCTCTCTTTATTAGTGTGACTCAACTCAATGATCTGATTCACTAACCAGGCCCAAAGATCTGTGTGCCACTGAAGATGAATGCATCCACATGCAAATGAAACTCTTAGAGGAGTCGCCAGCATCCAGCATTACTCCACACAAATATTACAACACAAGACATTATCTTTCTTATGCTTATGGCAGCTTGCCCTATAATTCCCTGAAGCTCCACAAAATCTTAAAAAGACAGACATCAAGACCTCCAACAGGGAGGAAAATCAGATTCCCCACACTCCCATGTTTAACCATAGCCTGTGAGAAAAGCAGGGAGAGGAGTGACAATTCTGAGCAGCCTTTAAGGGAATGGTGGTGACTAAAGTGAGCAGGAATATCTCAGATGCATTCACAGACTCATGGGACGTCAGAGCTGGAAGAGAGTCAGGCAGAATGGCAGCGGAGCATGGTGCTTAAGAATTCCAGTTCTGGGGCCAGATAGCCTGGCTATAGGCCTTAGAATCATTTGACCTTAGCCTGTTTACTCAACATCCTCACACCTCAGTTTACTCACCTATAAAATGGTACACACTTCATAGCATTATGAGACTCAAATGAATTAACACATGTAAAATGTTTTGCATTGTGCCTGGTCCATAGTAAGCACTTGGCAAATGTTATCTATTATTATCCTAATCTCTTCACCTACTTTTACAGATGAAGATATAGGACCTAAGATTTTAAATGAACAGAAAATAAGTAAAACCAATGCCAAAACCAGACATCCTGAGTTTCACCATATTACACAGATTTTTTTTTCTGATATTCTGCTTACTTAACAAATGAAAAGAAATAAATACTGCATCATTTAAACGATCATGAAGGGGCTACTCAGTTGTATGTAGGTCCCTCTTCCCCTTTAAAACTGAAATATTCTAACACACCTCTGCCCAGTTCTATTCCTCAACACCCAGTGGGCAGGACTAATTCTATAGGGGCAAGTGACAAAGGGTCAGAAAGCCATGTGAAGTTTAACTTTATGCACGAATAGGACACCATTTGCTTCCTTACCTTGAATTTGTCAACCTCAGCTTTTGAACACGTTGCATGATATGACAGCACCTGATTCAGAAGAAAAGAAAAAAAACCTTTAATAACCAGACATGACTCCATTTTCTGAAATTCTCCTAGCTTAAAAATGAGTTTTGTTCATGTCTGTCACCTTGACATAATACTGGATTTTAATGTACAGCCACAACTTTCTAGTAATAGTCTGTGACACAGATTATCATCTGTACAATTACAGTACAATCTGTTATAATGCTGAACAGAACTACAGCCCACACTAAGGGCTCAGTGTTTTACCCCAGGATGTTTTTATAGGTAGTTACTTTATCAAAGGGACATGATGTGGTACAAGATAACAGTTCCCAAAAGATGTGAATACTCGTCCTGTGAAATGCTCCATAACATATAAATAAAAAGGTGGTGTGTGTTTGTGCGTGTGTGTGTGTGTGTATACTACAGCAAACACTGTCGATTGCTGACTTACCTTCCATCTCTGCTCTATTCTCTCTTGCCTGCTTCTATTATATAGGAAAGATTATTTTGTCATGCCTGACCGTCTGTGATGCTTTTTGTAGGAGGATTATATTTCCCTGACCTATTGAATCAGCCTTAGTGTATGACTTGCTTTAGCTAATGGAATGTGGGGGAAAGTTACAGATGCCACTTTTGAGCACAGTCTTTAAGGGCCATCACGTGGTTCTGCCATCTCCCTTGTCCTTCCACCATGGAATGCATATGGCCCCGAGAGGAGCTGTCCTCTCAGCCTGAGCCCCAAAATGAAGAAGACACATTGAGCAGAGCTGCAGCCAGCCTGCGGCTGATGACGTGTCATGTGAGCAAGAAATCAACCTTTGTGCTTTATCACCAAATCATAACTCACTGATACAGAGACTTAAAAGTAAAAAATCCCATTTGTAGGGCCCCTGCAGCTAGGGGTGGTCGTGAGGAATGGCCATGAGACACTCCTCTGGTCACTGAGATGTAAATGGGGATGTTGGCATTGCCTTTTTCCTTTCCTCTCTCTTCCTCCCTGAAAAATAGCTGTAAAACCTGGTGGTGGGGTAAAATCTGGTGTCTGTGAGGTGACAACCATGAGTATGAATGACAGCTTGTTATGGACAGGAGAGCAGTAAGAGATAGAGAAATGAACCTGGCCCTGGGCTGCTCTGCCCCAGACTTCTTGCTATATAGGACAAATAAACACACATTTGCTTAAGTTAGCATTGGTATATTATAAGGCACATATACACATACATATAATGTATGCATGTTCTATATTTTGTACTAGCAAGTCCATCTTAATCTATACAAATCTCAAACAAGTAAGTCTGGGAAATGTTAAACCCCTCTTCAACTACCAAACATAGAGAAGAACACAGTCCAGTTGACTCTGAAAAGTAAAGTAACGTATTTTATTTTGTTAAACTCAGTATTTCCCAAACCTAATTAGCCACAGAACTTCCTTTTAGGTGATACATTAATCTTGTAACATTCCAACCTCATAACCCTTGATCAAGAACGTTAGGAAACATCGGCCCAGGGTACGTGTGACAGAAGCAGGCCCAATGGAGGCGGTGTCCACGGTGGTTGGAGTCCGACGGCCAGGGCTCTGCTGCTTCCCGCCTGTGGGAGTTTGGGCAAGTGGCTTGGTCACTTTGGGCCTCATTTGTAAAATGGTATAATATTTATACTTGACAGGCTTCTCCTGCTTAGCATCAGTAACCTGTTCTTGAAAATCAGAGTTTCCACCTGAAAACGTCAACAGGGAGCCTGTTTTCCATTATTTTTACTTGGAAAAAATTATAAGACTTGCAACCACTTCCTAAAACCTAATGAAACAGTAAAATTCATAAGTATAAATGAAACAAAAAATGATGTCAGGTTATAAATTGTTTTAAGTGTTACTTTTTTTATCATAACTGAGATAGCTCTTAACAAAAAGTAATAACTCCCCTTCTATTGTAAACATTTCAGTCACAAAATTTTTCCTTAATTCTCTCAACACTGCCATCTTTGGGAGGGGACTCACTGTCAGACACTGGTAAGCAAAAACAGGAGCTGAATATTAGAGGCATGGTGCTGACAGGTTCAGGACCAGTTGCTTTACTCAGTGTCACACAACTGAAATACACACTTCATTGTTAAATTCTACATGGTGTTTAAAATGTCTACACATGATTTGGATGTTATTTAGAATAATTCTATCTGGAATATGATCAGAACTTTCCCCACGCTTCATTTTGTTAAAAAAATGACATAGTTTTGGGACATAAATATTTTTTCCACTACAAACAAAAGCACAAAAATGTTGTATTGAGAGATAAATATGTTCTATGAGTTTGCTTACTAACAACAAAGAGATTTTCTGTTGGAAAAATTCTGTGGTGTGGGACTATACTCCACACAGTTCTTAGGACGATTAAATACAATGATACATGTCAAACAGCTGGCACACAGATAATCACATTACATTCATTGTATTAACATTCAATTACAATTCTACCGTATGAATATTTGGCAGAGTATTATGCCATCATATTATCTTAATTGTCTCATATTAGTAGTAGGAATTTTCAATGAAAAATAACAAGAGATTTTGTTCATTTGGTTCAGTTTTACTGAAGTACTCTTTAGTTTGGCTGTTTTCATATTAAAATTTCTTACTATTTATAAGTCTCTACATATTCAATAATTGAAATTTATCTTTATTTACCTAAAAAAATTCCACAAAAACTTAAGCTGAAATTCAAAATCTCTGCCACCAGGTGGCGCTTAACCAGCTTTTACCATTTACCATTACCTTTGTTTAAAACAACTTTCCCACTCAATTATTAGAGATTAAGACTTTTTAGTTTCTTAAAATTTTCTTTTGTTTGTTATTTATTTGTACTTTGTGTAACTCAGACACAAATCCTCTGTCAGATGTATGTTTTGAAAATATTATCTCTCAGTCTGTGGCTTGTCTTTTTGCTTCTTATTGTGAAAGGATTCCCACCATCTAGTTAATTGACACACTCATCACATCACATATTTATCTTTATTTTGGTGAGAACATTTAACTCCTCTTAGCAAATTTCAGTTATATACTACAGTGCTATCAACTATAGTAAACATATTTTACATTATCCTCAGACATTGTTCATCTTATAGCTGAAAATTTGTACCCTTTACCAACCCAGTTCTCTTTTAATGGATCTTTTAATGAACAAACATTTTTAATTTTGATCAAATATGTCAATTTTTGTTTATTATTGTTTCATGTGTTCTTTCTAAGAAATTGTATCTACCCTAAAGTTGCAGATATGTATCTTGTACTGTTTTCTAAAAACTTAATGTAGTTTTAACTTTTATGTTAAGTCTATGATACATCTGAAACTAAATTTGTGTATGGTGTCAGATTAAGACTAGTGAAATCGATGCCTGTGTTACTTTGTCATGATTCTTAAATTTTCCTGGGCCATAACTTGGAACCAACCCTATTGGAGTTCTGAGTTCTGAGATTTTTGAGTCTCTCTACTGGCTTATCTATTAAACCCATAGTAATTTATTTATTATACCTAATTAGACCAAGGTAATGATAAGGATGCTTTTGGTTTTCCCTTTTGAATATTTTTTTTCTGAGAGTTCTTGTTTCCCTTGGAAGGTCTGAGAACCAGTAAGGAAGCAGAGGAATGGCCTCACACAAAAACCTTTCAGCCACCTTTTCTTGAAATAATACAGTCCCTTGGGGATGAGCAGAGAGGAATCAGCTAAAAAGAGAACCTTGTTCTTGCAGGAGTAGGCCCTCTGGTAAACTGCAGAGGGTGCAGCAGTGTTCCCTCTAAGAATCCTTAGGACTAAGAAGCCAGAGGACCAAATTCCTCAAGACAGGGGATCTGTGAGTCCTGCTGCAGAACACACAGGATTTTTCTTCATGGCCTGTGATCACTGTTCATGCCCAATTCTCTCCTTAACCTACATCAGTTTTGGTTCTCCCCTAACCCCTCCACTGTAACAGCTTCTGTAGTTGGTCCCAATTTCTTGCTGCAAATCCATGGACAAATCTGTGACTGCCTTTTGCAGCAGTACTGAACCCAGGTTATCACTCCTGCCTTTTTAGAAAAGCCTTTTCTCTGGGTTTTCATGACACCACACTATTTTGGTTTCCATCTATTTTCCTCTCTACTCTTTCTCTGTTTTCTTTGTTGACTCCTCCTCCACTATCTTCACTCTAATGTAGAAGTTTGCTGGGCTCAACCTCTCCTTCAGTGATGCTATGCATTCTTATGGTTTTAAACATCATCTCTATATTGATAACTTCCAAATTTAGCACTAACCTCTCCTTGAACTTGAGACTCACATATCCACCCGCCTACATCACTAGCTTCCTACTACTTGGTCGACCCACTGGCTAGCAAATTTAACATGTCTAAACACACATGCTGAAATTCCCATATGTAGTAGGTAGAATGATGCTCCCCTTCCCTCACGATGTCCACATCCCAATCCCTGGAATCTGTGAATATGTTTTTCACATGGCCAGGGAGAATTAAGGTTTGCTAATGGAATTAAGTTTGCTAATCAACAACCCTGAGATGGGAAGATGGTCCTGCATCACCTAGGCATATTTAATAGAATCACAGGGGTCTTTAGAAGTCAAAGAGGAAAGCAGAAGAGTCAGAGACACAGTGATGTGATGTGAGAATGACATGACCTGCCATTGCTGACTCTGAAGATGGAAGGGGGTCACGAGCCGAGGAATACAGGGAGCCTCTAGAAACTGGAAAAGGGAGGGAAAGGCACAGGTCCTCTAGAGTCTCGGCTAGAGGGCACGCAGCAGCCCGAGGAAACCCATTTCAGTCTTCCTTCAGAACCTGAAGGTAATAACTGTGTGTTGTTTTAATCTACTAAGTTTGTGGTCATCTGTTACAGAAGCCATAGGAAACTAACATCACAAATGTTTCTCTCCCAATATTTTCCAGCTCTGCAACTGACACTCCATCCAACCAATTGCTTAAAACAGAAACCTGAGGGTTATCCTTGGTTCTTCCCTACCACTTTCCCTCACACTGAAT